CCTAGGCTCGATTCCCGACGTCTGTATTCGTAAAACTTTGTCGACTCATTAAATCCTTTTGGATTAATTCGACGTCTCGGATCGGAGATTCGATTGGGTTTGACCCGAAGGGTTCAGTTAAGATTAAGCTTTAATATCAATTGTACCTTGATATTACTGATCGGAAGCGGCCTCCACCTAGGCATTCCGATCACTTGACCTTACTGAAGATTAGCTCTGTAATAATTCTGAACCCTCTATCGGAATAATACACTTGTTGGAAGGACACCATTCCTTTCAATTTGAGCATTAGCTAAGAAATAGAGAAAATGGGCAACATAGAAGTCACTTAGGCCCTAGTTGGTGCGTTTTTCATCAATATGGTTCCCAAAACTTAATGTGTAGGGTTTTTTTGGCATTTCAAGCCCTAGACACCCAAAAATATGTACATTTGACATGTTTGGATGAGAAATGATAGCATTAGCTAAGAAATAGAGAAAATGGGCAACATAGAAGTCACTTAGGCCCTAGTTGGTGCATTTTTCATGAATATTGTACCTAAAACTTTGTTACTTTGTTTTTTTTTTTTGGTCATTTCAAGCCTTAGATACCTAAAACTATGTTTAATTGATATGGAATTAGAAAAAAAGAGCTCATTTTCTAAGAAATGAAGTAATTGGGCTAAGTAGAAGTCACCTACGTCATGGTACTTGGTTTATTTTTCATGAATATGGTACCCAAAGCTTAATTATATAACTTACTAACTCGTTTGTGCTTTTTCATATGTTTATCTTGTAGGAGGCCTACCAAAAGAGGGTTGAGGAGGCTAGCACTCAAAGGATTCAGAAGAGTCCGAATGAGCTATACTGGGAGACAATGGGTGGTCGGAAGAAAAAAGGACGTGTGAAGGGACTTGGCGGAAGTGCCGACCTTTACTATGGTAGCCAGATGGGTCGACTTTCTACATCTTCCATGCAGTACACGCCCTCCCTTGTTTCTCAGATGCAGGATTAGATGGAAACCAGGGTGCAGGCTCTTCGGGAAGAAATGGAACTCGAGATGCAAGCCCGAGTTCAAGCCTCAGTAAGAGCCCTAATGGAAGAAATGGAGAAGAGGTTGGAAGAGAGGATGATGAGTCGTTACCCCAATGATACATGTTCCACCGTGCGACCTCCATTTCAAGATCTCATGGACGACGACCCCGGTAGTGTTGGAGCAGGCCAGGGCACTCCCGCAGTTGCTTAGCTTTAATTTACGTAGTGTTTATTAGTACTAATTTTAGATTACATTACTTTGCTGTACACATTGGAATTAGTATATATATATATATATATATATATATATATATATATATATATATATATATATATATATATATATATATAATTATATAATTATTTTTGCACAAAAACCAATAATTTTATTCTGTCGTAATATTAGAAGCAGGAAGTACAGGTATCAAAGGGTAGCAATGTGCCGTAGGAAAATAGTCAAACTAGAAATAGTTTCGTCGCAAAGTTCCTATGGAATTTAAATCTGTGGCAAAGGGCTAAATGTTCCGACGGAATATTCCGTCGGTAGGTTGCGACGGAAAAATATCTGTAGGAACATAGCGAGGGATTTTTCCGTAGAAAATGTAAGTGCTTCCTACGGAAAAATACGTCGGAAGGAGCTTAGCTTCCGACGGAATATCGTCCGTCGGAAGCTTGCGACGAACTTCCCATTTTTGTCAAACTTAGGCTCCGACAAGTTATAATCCGTCAGAAATTTCGTCGATATGGATGTTTCCGAAGGAAAAGCCCTCGGAAGAAGCCAAAAATCCTACAAAGTGAAATCCGACGATGTCTTTCGACGGAATTCTATCGGAAACTGCCTTTTTCGATGGATTGTCATGGTGTTCCGACGGATTTTTTCCGTCGTAAATAAGGTGGTTTCTAGTAGTGGTTGACAACGGAAGTTCAGCGAACATTATTATGCTCGATATAGTGAAACATATGAACATTGACGAGTAAGACATCATCAATAAGTCAACAATGATGGTCGGATTCAGTGGAGAAACTAAAAAGACCATTGGAGAGATTACATTGCCTACCTATGCAAAAAGGATCAATTTGCAAGTGAAGTGCCTAGTGATCAATACCCTATCATCCTACAACGTAATTCTGGGCAGACCTTCGATACATGAAATGAAAGCCGTCCCATCTACGTATCTTCAAATCATCGAATTTCCCACCAAGTGGGGAATCCAAGAAATCAAGGGAGACCCAAAAGAAGCTAAAGAATTCTACAAGATAGCCTTGAAAGATACATTGGCATAGAAAGGATCAGCATAGCAATCAGAGATTCAGTTAGGCCAGGAAAAGATCAGTATAGCAGAAGAGCAAGAGGCAATCGAGGTCTAGCTGAATCCAGACCATCCAGATTAGAAAGTACGAATAAGAGCAGAGTTAAGTAAAGATCTCAGTAAGCAACTCATAGAATTCCTAAAAGCAGAGAAGGACGCGTTTGCATGGACACACGAAGACATGAAGGGAATCCCCCCAGAAGTAATTACACACAAGCTGAACGTAGACCCGAAGCATACACCAGTAAAGCAGAAAAGAAGGAAGTTTACACTAAAAAGGAACAAAGTGATTAACAAAGAAGTTCAAAATCTGCTAAAAACTGGAAAGATCAGAAAGGTTAAGTATCCAGACTGGTTAGCTAACATGGTGGTAGTCAGAAAGAAAAATGGGAAGTGGAGAATATGCATCGATTTCATAGACATCAATAAGGCCTGCCCAAAGGATCCATTCCCACTCCCTCACATCGATGCCATGGTAGATGCAACAGCAGGGCACGAGCTACTCTTCTTCATGGATGCATACAGTGGATACAATCAGATTCTCATGCACAAAGATGACCAGGAAAAACTAGCTAAGGAATATATTGCTACAAGGTAATGCCTTACGGACTGAAGAATGCTGGAGCAATGATGTATGCATTTTGTACCATGTTTTTATCCCGGTTTTATAGCGTAATTTGCATGGTTTTGGGCTCTATGGAGCCATTTCTCGCTAACAATCTCTTCTCTAGTGTGTTCGATCTATTTGATTGAGGTTCACAGGAATACGGAGGTTTTTGGATGAATCAGACTCGTTTTGGATAGTCAAATAAGAGGTTGTTGAGTGAAAGAAGAAGATTTCCCCAATGCCCTATTGGGCACCCTATGCCCTGGCTGCAAGGGTGAAGGAAGAGCAAGCTAACTACGAAGAATCATATAAGTCCCACATGCCCGACCGGGCATGCCAAGCCCAAGAAGACCGGGCTGTGAGGAGTGCATTACCGACAGAGCTTCATTTAAAGTTGTATTGCGCGCTCGACCGGGAACTCAAGGCCCTGACTGACTGGGCAGAAGAAGAATACAGAGAAGAAGTGAATTACCTCGTCCGCCCGATCAGGCAGTGCATGCCAGGGCAGACCAGGCGACGCTGCACGGAGTCTGTTTTTAATTAATATCGGATTTTATCGTTTTTAAGTGGTATAAATACCCATTGTAATCACGTTTAGAAGAAAGCTTTTATTTTCCTAATATTAGAACTTCCTTAAAACCCTAGTTTTCTCTCTTTACGTAGTTTAATTTCTACTCTTTAGTTTGGACTATTGTTCATCAACAATTTGAGTTATTTCGATTGAAGCAATTGTTAATTATCTATTCTCTTTTCCTTTACATTTCATTGCTCATTAATTATGTTTCCTTTACTGAATATTGTTTTCGTTTTCGTTATTATGTGTGAGTAGATTCATAATCCGGAATCTTGCAAAGCCCGAATATGATTGATACACGAATTGAATCTTTAAATTCTCCAATAATAATCCCAATGACATGCTTAATTGATTGTGTTTATGCCAATGCTAGATTAGGAATAATTATTATTGTTATCATCCCTTTGTTCTTATCGCAACGGAAGTTGGGTATTAACGGGATTTGGGTATTTCAATTAAGGGTTTGAAGTTCATTACGGAAGTAGGTGATTGGATGATTAGGGAGTTAAGTATTGTGTTTAATGTCCCTCATTTGCTTTATTCTATGGAAATGGGATTGATAGTTGATTTGGTAAGCCATTGATAACACGGAAGAGACCTTTGGTATTGTCTAGGGAATGCTTTTCCTCTTGTCAATTGATTTGTTATTGGGGGTAGATTTACTAGTGTATCGATTATATTCGTGGTAATGCGTGATCTTGGATGTTTTAGTTTATTGATTCATCACTTTCCTTAGATTAATTGTGCTATTTAGTATATTAGTTATTAGTACTCTTCATCATTGAATTGGTTACTTGCTTAATGATTGCTTGAGTCTAATTAATTAGGTGAACCTTAGTCTCTTGGGATTCGATCCTTACCTTCCCGTCTGCATAGTAGTGGTCTTGTTTGGTTTATTTTTTTTAGGTACGCGACACGCCTATCAAATTTTGGCGCCGTTGCCGGGGACTAGCGGTTTCTATCAAATTATTTGTGATTTGTTTTTACTAAGCCTTTTTCGTTGCTTCGGCTATTGTCTCTTGTTTTTTCGATACTCTGCTTTTAGTTCCTTGTCGCATGCAAACATGACGTTCAGGATCAGATGATTTAACACCTTTTGGTTCTGAAATCGAAGCAACTGCAAGGAGACGAAGAGGTAGAAGAAGAAGGAGGAATCAAAACAATAGAAACATGGATGACCAAGGAACAAAATCTTTTTTGGAGTACGGTATTCCTGATACAACAACCGGACTCCTCTCTAGCATTGTCAGACCTCCCGTTACTGCTCAGAACTTCTAATTGAAACCACAGTTCATTCAATTCATCTCCAATGATTCGTTTGTAGGGACACCTCATGATTTCTTAGTGAGTCACATTGATAGTATCTTGGAGAAATGCGATACTATGAAGTTAAATGGTGTTACAGATGATGCTTTTAAACTTTGCCTTTTTCCTTCCTCATTACGGGATAAGGCGAAAGAATGGTTGTGAGATGAAGGTTCTGGCTCATTTGACACATGGAACAAATTAGTGAAGGCTTTTCTAGTCAAGTTCTTGGGACAGGAAAAGACTGTAAGGTTGAGAAACGAGTTATCTACTTTCAGGCAGTCATATGATGAGTCCCTATATGAAGCATGGAGGAGATTCGAGCGATTGCAGAGACAATGCCTTCACCATGGTATTCTTGAATAGATGTTGATCCAAACCTTCTATATGGTTTAAATCATGAGTTCCGAATCTATATTGATGCTGCGTCTGGGGGTTCTCTCTTGACTAAGAACCCAACTAAGGTGAAGGAGCTAATTGAGAAGATGACGGCTAATGACAACTATCATCCAGGAGGCCGAAATAATGTGAAGAAGGGAGGAAAATTAGATGTTTATGCTCTAACTCTTTTGACTAGCTCTGTGCAGGCATTGACAAGCAAGTTCGATAGACTACAAGCTGGATCATCTTCTAGCTCACCTGAAACTTGTGAAATACGTAATGTACAGGGTCACATTGCACCTGATTGTCCATAGAATTCGAATGAGATGTCGATCGAGGAAGCCAATGCATTCTAATCTTCAAATCCCAAAAGGCCATATGAACCCCATTCAAACACATATAACGAGGGTGAAGACATCATCCAAATTTCTCCTACAAGAATACCCAAGCCCAACAAAATCCGCCTCCACCACCACCTCGAACCAACAATTATAATGCACCACTTGGTTTTCAAGCAAGGCCACCTCCAGTCTAACAACCTATGTAATCACATCCAAACCAACAACCTATGCAACCACCTCCTCAAAAATCTAACCACAACAAACAATTCCATATAATAGTTACAAGCTTAGAACAAGCTCATGGAAAATCGAATAAGTCAACTTGCTCATCAAGTTGGCTAATCTTCAAGGACTCCGGGTACCTTTCCGGGTCAAATAGAGCAACAACAAAAGGGGCATATGAATGTCGTGACTTTGAGAAGTGGAAAGTAGTTGGAAGATCCTCCCGTAAGGGAGCCATTAAAGGAGGTTCTTGAGGGAGTAGTCACAACTGAGAAGGCGATTGATGGTAGTGTGATTGAGGAAGAGCTAAAGGCATCGTCTCCACCACCACCTGCTCCATATGTGCCACAGGTTCCTTTTCCACAAAGGTTGGCTCAAGCTAAGTTAGAGAAAAAGTATGGAAAATTTCTTGATATTCTGAAAAAGCTCCACATCAACATTCCATTCTTAGTTGCAATATCCGAGATGCCATCCTATGAAATTTTTTTAAAGGATATGCTCTAACAAGAAGAAGCTAGAGGAGAATGCTACGGTTGCGTTGACTGCAGAGTGTAGTGCAATTTTGCAAAACACACTTCTTAAGAAATTAGGCGATCCGGGTAGCTACTCAATTCCGGTGAAACTTGGAGACATAGAAATCAACAGGGCATTATGTGATCTTGGTGCAAGTGTGAGTCTTATGCCGCTCTCTATTTGCAAGAAACTTGAAATGGGTGAACTAAAGCCTACACGCATATCTCTACAACTTGCGGATAGGTCAGTCAAGTTTCCTTTGGGTGTACTTGAAGATGTTCCACTTCGCGTGGGAAAATTCTTTATTCCATGCGACTTTGTTGTGATGGAGATGGAGGAGGATGCACATGTTCCTATTATTCTTGGTAGACCATTCTTAGCCACTGTAGTTGCAATCATTGATATGAAGAATGGTAAAATCACTTTTGAAGTAGGTGACGAGAAAATGGAGTAAACACTCTTGAATGCTGTTGGAACTCCTTCCATGGGAGAGACTATTTGTCAAATGGACGCCCTTGATGATTTACAACGTGAGAAACTTTCCCTTGATAAAAACGAATGATGCACTTGAAACGGTGTTAATGGGGAGTGCCAATGATGAAGATTGGGAAACAAGGGAGTACACAAGGCTACTAGAGGAAGCAAAAGACAATCCAATCACAGCTCCAGTCAAGGAAGTCCTTAGTGTATCGAGTGTTGGAGAGAGTACTACGCCTACCGAGGTAGAGTTGAAACCCCTTCCCTCTACTCTTAAATATGCATATCTTGGTCCTAATAATACATATCCTGTTATTGTTAATGTTGAGCTTAATGACACAAATTAGAGCAATTGCTCACTATTTTGAGAAAATATAAAAGTATTATTGGGTATACCATTGATGATATAAAGGGTATTAATCCCTCTTTTTGTATGCATAAAATCATTCTTGAGGACGATCATGCCTCCTCTGTAGAACCTCAAAGAAGGCTTAATCCAAATATGATGGAGGTAGTTAAAAAAAAGGTTCTTAAATTGCTTGCTGCAGGAATAATTTACCCTATCTCAGATAGTAAGTGGGTTAGCCTTGTACAAGTAGTACCTAAAAAAGGAGGTATGACCGTTGTCAAGAATGACAAGGGTGAGCTAGTCGCCACTAGGACTGTTACAGGGTGGCGAATGTGTATTATTATAGAAGGTTGAATAAGGCCACCCGGAAGGACCATATCCCCTCCCCTTTATTGATTAGATGCTTGAACGTTTGGCTAAGCATTCCTTTTTCTGTTATTTGGATGGATATCCTGGTTTCTTTTAAATTCCTATTCGTCCTTGTGATTAGGAAAAGACCACATTCACATGTCTTTATGGAACCTTCGCCTATCGAAGAATGCTATTTGGATTATGTAATGCTCCAGCCACGTTCTAGCGTTGCATGATGGCAATTTTCTCAGGTCTTATTAAAAATTCAATGGAAGTTTTCATGGATGACTTCTTTGTCTATGGAACATATTTTGATGTATGTCTTGAAAATTTGAAAAAGGTGCTCCATAGATGTCAAGAAGTCAATTTAATTTTCAACTGGGAAAAATGCCATTTTATGGTACAACAGGGAGTTGTTCTAGGCCACGTGGTTTCACATAAGGGTATTGAGGTCGATAAGGCAAAGATAGAGGTTATTGAGCGCCTACCCCCTCCTAACTCTGTAAAAGGAGTTCGGAGATTTCTTGGTCATGTAGGATTTTATAGACGATTCATTAAAGACTTTTCAAAAATCGCTCAACCTCTAATAGAGATTTTGGCTAAGGACACCCCATTTGTATTTACTGATGCTTGTCTTGAGGCTTTTAACAGGTTAAAGGAAGCCTTGATCACTGCTCCTGTTATGCAACCCCCGGATTGGACCCTACCATTTGAAATTATGTGCGATGCTAGTGACTATGCGGTAGGAGCCGTTTTGGGGCAACGAAAGGATGAAAAACTTCATGCTATTTATTACTCTAGAAAAATTCTTAGCCCTGCTCAAATTAATTATGCCACATCTGAAAAAGAGATACTAGCAGTAGTTTATGCAATAGACAAGTTCCAATCTTACCTAGTTGGTTCGAAAGCAATAATTCATACAGATCATGCAGCATTGAGATATTTAATGAGCAAAACTCACGCCAAGCCGCGGTTGATTCGTTGGATCCTTCAGTTGCAGGATTATGACATCGAAATAAAGGACACGAAAGGGACTGAGAATGTCGCTGCAGACCATCTCTCTCGCCTCCTCCTTGATAATGGGGACACAGATGACCTCCTTTTTGATGATTCTTTCCCTGATGAACATTTATTAGCTCTTTCAAAAATTGAGTCACCTTATGCTGATTTAGCTAATTTTCTGTCCACAGGTACAATGCCTCACGGCTACTCGTCTCAACAAAAGAAGAAATTCTTTTATGAGGCAAGGAGACATTTTTGGGAGGATCCTTTCTTGTATAAGCTATGTGCAGATGTAGTGATCAGACGATGCATCCCGGAGAATGAGGTACATAATGTCATCTCTCATTGCCATGACTTACCGTGTGGTGGACATGCAGGTCCTTCGAAGACAACCGCGAAGATTTTGCAATGCAGTTTTTATTAGCCAACCTTGTTCAAGGATGTCTACTCTTATGTCAAGGCCTGTGATTGTTTTCAACGGACAGGTAATATTTCAAGGAAGAACGAGATGCCACTAAACAATATACTCGAGGTTGAGTTGTTTGACGTGTGGGGGATAGACTTCATGGGTCCGTTTCCTTCTTCCCATGGGAACCGATATATCCTAGTAGCCGTTGACTATGTGTCAAAGTGGGTTGAAGCTATTGGTACTCCAACCAATGATGCTCGTGTGGTAAGTAAATATTTCAAAAAAAATAATTTTTCCCCGATTTGGTATCTCACGTGTGTTGATTAGTGACAGGCTAACACACTTTTTGGAGCATCGATTCGAAGCAATGTTGAAGAAATATGGAGTACAACATAGGCTTGGCATTGGCTATCATCCACAAACCAGTGGTCAAGTTGAAGTGTCCAAATGAGAAATTAAATCCATCTTGGAGAAAACTGTTTCAAGGACAAGAAAGGATTGGTCGGCCAAGATTGATGATGCACTATGGGTATACCGAACAGCTTTTAAAATGCCAATAGGTACAACCCCATATAGACTTGTCTATGGGAAAGCATGCCACCTACCCGTTGAGCTAGAACACCGAGCATTTTGGGCTATTAAGAGTTTAAATTTTGATGCTAAAGCCACGGAAGAAAAGAGGTTGTTACAATTAAATGAACTAGATGAGCTTCGTCTTGAAGCTTATGAGAGTTCAAAATTATACAAAGAAAGAACTAAAGGTTAGCATGATAAGGGCCTTGTGAGAAGAGAATTCAAGGAAGGAGATCAAGTCTTCTATTCAACTCACGATTGAAATTATTTCCCGAAAAGCTTCGGTCTAGGTGGTCAGGTCCTTTCACTATTTTTAAGGCCTACCCCTACGGTACTATTAAACTATGGAATAAGACCGGGGCCACTTTCAAGGTTAACGGCCAAAGGTTGAAGCATTACCGCGTCGGGGATCCTATCGAAGAGAAGCTGGACATCACATTCTCTTCCCTATCACCAACTGAATGAGCATTACTACGGTCGAGCTAGCGACCTTATAAATAAGCGCTTGCGGGAGGCAACCCATTTTCTTAGTTTTCCCTATTTTCCTTTTCTTTTTAGTTTTGTGTTTGTTTTATTTTTGTTTTTTAGGGAACACCGAGCTATGCAGAAGTGGGATATTAAGAAAATTTCCAAAGGTTGAGAAACGAGTGAATCACTCGTCGCCCTGGCAGACCGGGCATGGATGCCCAATCGGGCGTGAGAGCCAGCGAAGAAAGGAAGATTTTTCAAACCTTCACTGCCCAGTCAGACCAGACGTTGATTCCCGATCGGGCACGAAGGGTAGCAGCGATGCGGCGTGAATATTTCAGAAAAAAAAAGACCCCTTTTCACTTTATTCTACTCTTCCTCCTTATTATTCATACACTTTCTCTCTCTAAAAAACCCCCAATTCCCAAACCCTAACTCTCATCCTCTCCTCTAACTTCTACAAATTCCACTCAAATTCTTTCACTTTCTTCATTCCCTCATCACTTCTATCTAATATCCAACCTCCATTACTACTCCTCTCCCTCCAAACACCTATCTCACCCAAATTTTTTTTTAAGAGAGAGAAAGCTTGAGGAACATCAATGGCTATAAGGAAGAGGAATAGGGGCGCGCCTCAAGAACCACAACTAGATTTGGAAAGCATTCCAGAGTTTCCACACATCAAGTTCGTGGCTGAATTTCCCAATCAAAAGATGCGGTTTCAAGAGCTAAAACATCGGAAGGTAATTCCTACTCGTTTTATAGATCGTTCTCTTCTTGCAAAATTAGGAATAGATTCTGAATGTAGAACTTTATTTTCTAAACTTGGCATGTCTCAAATGTTCAACATGATTCATTATACTTATGAGGACATTACTCTTGAATTTTTGAGTTCTATTGATGTAGTGAAGGGTAGAGATGGATTGGTGACACATGTAGTATATAGGTTGTTGAATAAATCCCACCGACTTACATTAGATGGCTTTCCTAGGAAGTTTGATCTCCCGGCCTCAGGATTAACCCTGCTAACAAAATGCATCAACCCGTCTTTAGGCTCCGGACTTACTTTACAGGGTGGACTATTTTTGGATGGGTAGAACCCAATAATGTTAGGGCAGATGAGGTTGCAATCTTGGGTAGTTATTTGAGATATGGGGATTCTGATGAGGCTTTTTGGGTGAAAATTGCCCACCTATTTGCCCTTCACATTAGGAAACAGGGGCTTAACTTCCCCACTGTCAAACCTAATGGAGACCGCACCAACAACACTATAGTCCTAGGCGGTTTGGTGACCCATTTGTCACTTAAGGAGGGCTTTGATGAATGTCACCACACGCCATTGCCAGGTCCTATTATGTTGGACCAACATTACTTCATTGCCACCAACTGGCTGTCCGTTGAACTTGGCTATTACAAATGGCTTATTGGAAAAACCAATAGGTGATCCATATATTTACCTTCTCCTAACCTCACTAAAATTCGCCCTCACCAAGCCTCTTATCTTTTAAAGATCCCAAGCGGTTCACCTCCCCTAGCTGCCCCCACGAGGACTTACTATAGGCGAGATTCTACTGGACCCTCCTTATCTTCCACTGCACCACCTGCATCACCTATCTCTTCTGACAATGAGGCCATCATGGCTGGCATCCGGGATCTCTTCTCCTGTCTCCAGACACTTGAGACCGACTATATCCTGTCTATGCATCCTATTTATGACTATTTTTGCTGGCTAGGTCACATTCCGAGGGATCTTTCCCATCCTTCTTGGTATACCTTTCCCGATGTGGGAGACATTGCAGGTAGTAGTGGGGCAGCCGGTAATGAT